GGCTGCAAATATAATGCTGAGTAAGTGATGCTGAGATGAAAACAGTGTTGAGCCTAAGATAAAGTCATGGTTTCCATGATTTATTAGTGAGGGCGCACAGAAAGGAGCAAGAAAGAACAGAGCCCAAAAGGAAGCAAGCAGTGGCTGTTCTCAGCACTGAGTTTTGTAAATTGTTTGTGAAAGCTTCCAGCTGATGTGTGGAACACTGATGTCTGATTTCCTCCATCAAACAAGGGACTTGAGGAGTGTAGTCACTAGAAAATGATGGCCAAAATAGTCTGAGATGGGGAGGGGTCTTTGAGACTATAACAATGTCATAAAAGGATAAAGGTCCTCTCCTGGATGGGGGAGCAGTCTTGCCAGGCCACAGAGGAGGACATTGCAGCCAGCTCTGATGAGACCAGATAAGCTAGGATCAGATGGAAGGGGAGGAGGACCTCCCCTATCCCTGGACTTGGAGAGGGGCATGGGAAGAGAAGAGGGAGGGAGGGTGAAATTGGGAGGGGAAGAAAGAGGGGACTGCAACTGGGATACAAAAATGAATAAACTGTAATTAATATAAAAAATAAAAATAAATAAAAAAATAAAAGGATAAAGATCCAGGCTTGAGTCCCCACTATTCAGGGCAAAAAAGCAAATCAGGATGGGCAGAAAGAGGATAGTTAGTGCTAAACTTCCATGTGGAAGTCAGTGGGGTTCTTGGGAGTGTCTCAACAGGAAGTGTGCCAGCGTAGGAATGGACACCCAGGCAGGAGCTGTCCTCGAAAGGCAGAATGTCAAGAGCCCTCCCAAAGCAAAGGTCCTCACCCAGCGTCTGTCAGAGGAGACAGCCACTCACTGTCAGTCCACAGGGGCCCCGGGCTGAGCCTACATTCCTCGGCTCTTAGCCAAGCACGTCTGTACACCTAATAGAGGTCTGACAGCGAGCACTGAGCACCACTAAATGTGGAGATTCTCTCTGAAGAAGTCAGAGAGTGGGGCTGATGTGTTCTCTTAGTGTCCGCTTTCGACTTTCAAACACACACCATTAAACAAACAAGCCACCTTTTTGGTTTTGTTTTGTTTTGTTTTGTTTTGTTTTGTTTTGTTTTTTGAGACTGAAGCAGAGTGAACAAATAAGAAAACTCAGGTGACCCAGAGGAGCAAGAAGACAGGAACTCGTGGGAGGTATAGCAGGGGCAGCTGGGAGAATCTGTAATTAGAATAATCCATGGAGGAAGGATAGTGAGTTTGTGGCCACACATGAGGCTTTGCATTGCTAGTCGGCTCGTGTGCCATCATGCCCACAACCTTCACTGCTGCTACCATCACTGGCTGAATCAGAGAGCTGTAATTCATCAGCGTGCATGAAAAGCAGCCCTTTTTTAACTTCAAGCATGTTTAGTCACAACAGTTTATATCACCACTTTCAGATTTTAATGAAGGCAAGACATTGGATACATCCTTACAGTAATCGTAAGACTATGAAGGTTGAAAGTATGATTTTTCACAGTGTTAGACCATTAAGCCAAATTGTCATGTTTTTAGTTAATTATTTTAAATGCTTTGGGGGGGGGGAAGAGATCAGCATCTAAAAATTAATTAATAGTTTTCCTTTATACAATTGTCAGTGTCATCACTGGCTACTGCGACTGGCTGCCAGCTCTTTTGTACCCTGGTTCTAGAGGCAATCAGCAAGTGTGAATTAACATTAACCACTTGTCCTAATAGCCAAATGCCAAATGTCATACCACATGCAGGATGGTAATTACGCATTAGGAAGCGGATGAGATCAGCATCATTAGCCAAGAATTAACCTCAAATGCAGAGCCACTTGAACTGGTGCTTGCAAAAACACAACATCTCATCTTTGGGGATACTGAAATGCCCTTCAAGAGTGGTTGTCCATGCCCGGCTGAGAACTGTGAAATTCCTTTTCAAAAGCATCCCAAGCCTTTCTTTGTCAAGAACAAAGGTTTCCACAGCCGAGTCTTGAGGGATCAGGTGAATTTACACGCACTCCGGCTTTACTTGAGTGGCATTCAAACCCTATTTGTGTGTTTGCTGTTCACTACAGCCTCCTGCTTCATGACCCTTTGTGATATGTGTCTGTTTAAAGAGGCAAGTCGGTGAGGCAGGGCCTTCCTCCGTTTGCAAATGCTCTCTCTTACTCCTGGAAAGGCAAGGGGCCTTCTCCAAAGGTTGCTGCCCCCTGCCCCCTCAGTGCTAAGATGCAGCGTCAAAGTGGCAACTGCTGACATCTGAGAGTTCAGATTTCAGCAGCTTCGAACATGAACACAGGGGTAAGCGGAATGTCATAAAACCCACGCTCAACACTGAAGCCCATTGTTTCCACACTAGAGATGGGGAGAGCTAGGGTTTCCCAGGTGCATACTCTAACAGGTCCAGGGGCACGCCAGGTGCCTTTGCATTCTGTCATTGGGCTGGCTTCAGGGCTCCTTTGCTTCTCTCCCCTTGGCCTGACTTCTTAGAGTCACTATTGTGATTAGTGATGACTATTCTAATTGAGTTTTGTGCATTTCCGACACCACTTTGGAATAAGATAGTGTCTTAGGGTTATTATTGCTATGATGAAACACCATGACCAAAAGCAACTTGGGAGGAAAGGATTTAGTTGGCTTATGAGGCCTCTCACTGAAGGAAGCCAGGACAGGAAGCTGGAGGCAGGAGCTGATGCAGAGACCGTGGGAGAATGCTGCTTACTGGCTTGCTTTACATGGCTTGCTCAGCCTGTTTTTTATAAAACCCAGGACCACCAGCCCAGGGATAGCATCACCCACAATGGGCTGAGCCCTCCCTCATCAATCACTAATTAAGAAAATGCTCTACAGGCTTGCCCACAGCCTGATCTTACAATTGAGGTTCCTTCCACTTAGATATAGCTTGTGTCAAGTTGAGGTAAAGCCAGGGTAGGTAGATAGGATCCCCAAATTTCTTTGGACTGATAGAGATTCCCTTAATGTATAGCTTGATGCTCATTTACTTTTTTCTATGAAGAATTTTAATTTCACCATCTGGTTTGATGACATAGGAATATACAAAACCACAACTGAAAAGAGTGTTATTGCCTGCTATAGTCTAGCATGGTAAGGCTACTTAATAGATACTAAGTCCAGCTTTAAGTGAATAAGCCAGCAAATGAGTGTCTGGGTGAAACTGAGGACTTAATAAGGAGAAGGTAGAAAATATTTTAAAACAAATACAAGAATTGAAAGCAACACAGTTCTGATCCCTCAGCATGAGACTGGGTTTGTGTCTATCTTTTCTTTATTCCTTCTTTCCTTTCTTTCTTACTTTTAAATCTCTCTTCTTAGTTTTTGTTTTATTTTGTTTGATATTGTCTTGCCATGTATGTCCCAAGCTGGTCTGAAACTTGCCAGGTAACCCAAGCAGGCCCCAAATTCACAAAAGTCCTGCCTTGGCCTCCCCAGGAAAACACACAGTTCCAAGAGCTTTCTGGCATGCCTGGCTGCTCTGTGGCTCCTGGAAGACTTTGATAATTGTAGAATTGTAGTTACTATTGAAAGTATAACTTCATTTTCTTAAAAATAAGTAGAACCAATGTATTCTTGGGAGTCTCTGTTTAAGAAGGCCGGGAGAAATAGCATGTGCTTCGGAAAACTTTCCATTTGGGGTTTCGGAGATGGCTCAGTCAGTAAAGGGCTTGTTTTGCAAGTCTAAGAAGCTGGATTCAGAGCCCCAGAATCCACAAATCATAAACGATCAGATAAGGGCTGTGAGCAGCTGAGGTACCTGTAATCCCAGCCCTGGGGAGGCAGAACCAAAAGGGTCCCTGGAGCTTGCCAGCTGTTCGGCACGGCCAACTTGGTATCAGTTCCAGTGACGGACCCTGACTCTAAAAATTAGGTGAAGGACTGGGGAGATGGCTCATGACGATCAGGGTTCAGATTCCCAGAATTCACATGAAAGCTGGGTGAACAGAGCAGCTTGCCTTTAATGCTGGCAGAGACAGAGGATTACTGAATCAAGCTGGGTATCCAGACTAACCAAAATAGCAATCTCTGGGTTCAGTGAGGGACACTGACTCTGTGTGGAAGGTGGTTAACGATGGAGGAAGATGCCTAACGTTAACCTCAAGCCTCCACGCACAGTCACATATATCCCATACGGGTACATATTCCCAAACACATGCAAACGTGCAGACACACCAAGAAAATAAATAAGATGGAGAACAATAGAGCAAGAAACTCAACATTGACCTGAAGTCCACACACACACACACACACACAGAGAGAGAGAGAGAGAGAGAGAGAGAACATAAAACTTAAAAACGGATAATATCTAGCTATACACACAAGCCATAAAACTTAAATAATAGTTAAATAAATAAATAAAACTTAGGATAATAGTCAGCTGGCTAAATATTTCCTTGCAAAGCCTTATCATCTGGCCACACTCCAGGCCTAGAATGCTGATGAACTGTTAGGGGAGGCTCTCCCTGGGTGGAAAGGACATCTCAGGAGAGGTGGCGTGAGCTGAGAATGCAGACAGGTCAGGCTTGGTTCTAATCAATCATGGTGCGGGGAGGAGCAATTGCAACCAACTGTAGAGCTATCCTGGCACCCTACAGGGCTGTGGAGAGTTAATCACGCCCTTTCAATCCACCACTTGATTGCTCATTAAGAGCTCCTGACATAATGACTAAAGCGACCCAATTCCTTCCCTGTCCTTGTTGGTTTCTGCAACAATGGGAAACGAAAGAGACTTTCATGGAGGCCTGCCCAAAACTTCCAGACAAAGGACGTTAAATAAATCTTATTAGACCTTGACTTGACTCTGACATGACATAAATCACAGCTGTGGAGCATGGCAAACCTAGTCCCTAGATTTCCCCAATGGCAACCCCAGTGGAGCCTGTTTTCCCGGCCCAGTTAAATAGAGGAAATCACAGACAGCAAACTGAACTCCGCACTTGGCATTTCTCGGTTATTGTGACCAATCAGACATTGATTTCTCCCCTGTTCTGTTGTTGTTTACAGAGTTATGCAAAACTCATTCCTGGAGCGACCGTGGGACTGCTTCAGAAAGACTCTGGGAACATCCTTCAGCTGATCATCTCTGCTTATGAAGTATGCTATTTCTCTTTGCAAACAGTTGGCTCCCCTTTCAGTATTTCACTGCCTTCTAGACACTCAGATGTCGGTAACGAAATGCAAGATGTAGGTAGCCAAACGGACTTCCGCGTGTTTATGAAAGGATTGCCCATCCAAAGAAAGCCGCTCTGCAATCAGGCTGTTGAAATATAGATTTTTTTTTACTTACCTCATTCACCCATCTTCCCAAAGGGAGCAGGAGGTAGAAAAACCAAAGACTTGACCCCAAACGGAGGTTGTTTTAGAATGCTAACCCACAAAAGTGTGGCCTCCAGCAAAACTTTAATATAGCTGAAAAGATTCTGAGTCATGATTGAACTCCTCTATGCAAAAAAAAAAAAAAAAAAAAAAAAAAGCATAAATTGCCAGTGAGCAACAGTTACGTGGGGAGCTACATCCACAGGGTCAAACAAATAAAATACAAAGGCTGAAGCCGAGCACTCTGGGAGGCAGATACATGTGGATTGATCTGAGTTCGAGGCCAGCCTGGTCTACAAAGTGAGTCCAGTACAGCCAAGGCTACACAGAGAAACCGTCTTGAAAAACGAACAAAGAAACGAAAGAATACAGGGGCTGACCCCAAACCAAAACACCGAAACCTCCCCAAGCACCAGATTCCCTTTACTGTATTTCCATAGGAGCAGAGGCTTCTGTCTGAGTTTCTCTCACAGTCACTCTGATAAAACATCCTGAGAAGAACAGCTTATGGGAGAAAGGCTTGATTTCGAGTCCCAGTTCCAGCTCCCAGTCCGTGGTAGTAAGGAAGTCACAGGGCAGGGGGCATTGGTCACGTGAGGAACAGAAAGCGGCAGGCAGGCTCTCCCCTAACTGCGATGTCCTGTGGTAGCTCCTTCAAGCCCCAAAGCCTCTTCTCCCCAACTGGAAGCCCTGGAACTCTTAGCTAAACAGCATTTGTCCCGTAGGTCGTTTTTGTCGCAGTATTTTATCACAGAAATGGGAGGGGGGAAGTAAGACAGGTACAGACTAACTTTTTGTTTGTTTGGTTTGCTTTTGATTTTGGTTTTTGCCTTTGCCTTGACTTGTAAACCATACTGAGGACAGAAATGCCCCTCTTAAAAAAAAAAAAAACAACAACAAACATACAGCTAGGAATTGCTCAGGAGTTAGACTGAGTTACTGTCTAACTCAGTTGATCAACACCGAATGACCAGTTGACACTGTTGTTTTTATTTTGGTCCTAAATATCATTTTTCGTTTTTGTCTTTCCAGACCAAATCTTCCTTTCCTGCCCCACCTCTTCCTCTTCCTTCACCTCTTCCTCCTGTAATTTTGACAGGCATGAAAAGAAAAAAACTTAAAAAAAATATTTAAAAAAAATCAGTAAATCTCTAGTATTTTTTTTCAAGGCGCATTTACCTAATAATGAATGAATAAAATCTCCAAATTTTTTGATGTTTGAAACTTGCATATTAAAGATCCATATATAATGACATACTCCAATACAAAGTATATGTGAAGCCAGTGTTCCAAATTAAATAACAGGCCAGAGTCAGCTGAGTTTTTCAAAGAGTTAGTCCTACTCAGACATCTTGGAGACATTCAGAAGAAGCGAATAAGCATGTTTAGAAAGGAAAAATACCTCCCTTGTGATTTTGACATCACCCCACCAGTTTTAAAACTTGTACAACAAGAAAAGCAAGCTACCCTTTCTTTAAAACTTCATTTTTTTCCCCAAAGGTTGAAACACACTTATAGCCACTAAAACTGTATGAAGTCGGTGGATTTTGCTTCCTAGCAATGATCCAATACTGCAGTTTTCTGAGCACTCATCAAAAATTAATCACCATGTCAGCTCTTCCAGACAGGAAGACCTGTCAACAAAACACACAGAAATAACCCCCTCCTCTGCGCTGATTAAAGTTTTAACGTGTAGAATCAAATAGAATCACATTTACAAAAAAATTATACTCTCAAAAGTGGTGACTGCTAACCACTTCAAGAAAAGTAGGCAAATGGGGAAAGAGAGGATTGTCAGAAATGTTGACCTGCCCAGGCAGCCAACCTCATCCACGCCCCTGCTTGCGGGGTGTGTCTCACTTTGCATTTCCAAACTGCTCACACAATTTGCAAGGTGGCTAAGATCAAGTCATTACACATCTCAGTGGAATCTTGGGTTCTTATTTATTGCCTCAAAACCACCAATGACTGGGGCTGGAGAGATGGCTCGGGGTTTTTGGGAGCACTGGCTGCTCTTGCAGAAGGCTTGGGTTTGATTCAAAACACCCACATGGCAGCTCACAACCATCTCTAACTCCAGTTCCAGGGGGATCTGATGCCCCTCCTCTGACCTCCACCCGTACCAGGCACACACGGTCCACAGACATACATACAGGCAAAACAGTCATGTACATAATAGAAAGCACGGAGAAGCACCTATCACTCTGCTAAGTTACATTATTCTTGAGTTCTTCTTGGCAAAATATGGTCCAGAGGTGATGTGCGCAAGAGATTGTGACGCTTGTCTGATATTATCATTTTTACTGTTATTTTTTCTCTAAAGATTTTATTTATTTTATGTCTATGGGTGTGCTATCTGCATAGATGCCTGCATGCCAGAAGAGGGCTACAGATTGAGTTACAGATGGTTGTGAGCCACCACGTGGCAGCTGGGAATTGAACTCAGGACCTCTGGGTTAAGAGCCAGGGCTCTTAACCACTGAGCCATCTCTGCAGCCCTTACTCTATTAGTCTTTCAAATAGAGGAAACTGTATGTAGCTTGTTTCTGCTTCTGTGTAGGTTCTTCTATTTCCCATCCTTTATCCCCCATGCTCATTTTACCCCTTAACACTATATAGGAAAGAAAGATGAGAGGAGAGAGAGAGAGATCCTTGAGTTTAATTTCTTTTCCAACCATTCCTCCAGTTTCCAGCCCAGCTCCTCAAAGGTTTCCCCCAACCATATCCCCCTCAGTTCCCCAACTGTCTACTTAAACAGCCCTTTCTCTCAGTTTTCCCAATACTAGCAGCTCCAAACTATAACAACTGTTCTAAAACAAACTGTAACAACTGCTCAGCTTCTCCTGGCTCAACTGTCTCCTAACATTATTTTCTGCCCCAGCTGCCTTCTCTTCTCAGTCTCCTCAATCTCCTTCTGTCAGCCTCTGCTGGCTTTTCTATATCTTCTCCTGTTCCCAGAAATCCAAGAGGCAGCCAGCGCTGAAGGTCACAGGGTCAAGCAGTTCTAACAGCTAAGAATTAGTTAAAGGGCCACTTCACTAGCAACTGGGGATCCTTTAAAGGATCCAGGCACACAAGATAAATCACGCTACAAACCTATAGACTAAATTTCTTCTTCAGTCTATAAAGAGATAAAGAATATTTGAAGAGAAAGCAAAAGGGCTTCTGACTAACTTTTAGCAAGGGAAAAAACAATTTGTGTCTACAAACATTAGTTAAGTATACTTTTTTTGGGGGGGAACAGGGGTTTGAGACAGGGTTTCTGTCTGTAGCCCTGGCTATCTTGGAATTTGCTTTGTAGACCAGGTTGGCCTCAAACTCACAGAGATGTGCTTGCCTGTGCCTCCTAAGTGCTGGGATTAAAGGCATGGGCTACCACAGCAGGCTTAGCTAAGTATTTTTAAATGCTATGTTGATACACACACACACACACACACACACACACACACACAGATATATAATCTTAAAACTGGTTGTGTACTCTCTCACCCACTCACTAATTTCCTTCCTTTCCTTACTACATCCTAAAGGCTACTGAAGCATCAGTGGCTCTGGGGGAGGGATTGGCCCTGTACTGGAATTTAATCTCTAGGAAGGAATTCATTTGTATTCTTTGCCCAGCCTTGCAGGAGATGCTAAAAAAAAAAAAAAAAAAAAAAAAAAAAAAAAAAAAAAAAAAAAAAAAATTAATGAATGGAATGATGAGAAACATAAATTAGCATTTATATTACTTGGGAAATACACATTAATAATAGTCTCCATAAAATTTGCACACTCGTACTCGATTATTTCAATGCTGAGATTCGCCTCATTTAGGTTAGACAATGCCACCCAGGAGCCCTTATTACTGTCACCAGCACACACGTCCCTTTTTTCTCATTTAGCTTTTGACCCACTCTGCCGCTCCCTCCAGCACTACTTCCCCCTGACTTTTGGTGATTTTAGCATAAGCACACTCTGAAGGGCCGTGATAATAGCTTATTCAATAAAGTGCTTACCTTGCATGCAGGGGCACTTAAGTTGTATCCTCAGAGACCCCACAGAAAAGCTGGGGAGGGGGGGACACGCTTGTAATCCCACTGAAGGCAGACACAGGCAGAGTCTTGGAGTTTGCTAGCCAGGAAGCCTAGCCAACTTGATGAGTAGGAGGCCAACGAGAGGCCACGAGTCAAACCACAAAGTAGATGGTGTCTTGAGGAATAACACCTGAGTTGTCCTGTGGCTTCCACACACACTTGCACAAATGTGCTTTTAAACTGCCGAAAATGAGGGAAGGGGATCTAGCTCAGTGGTAGAGCACTTATCTGCTACATTAAACCTCCAGTATCATAGGCAGATAGATGGTTGGTTGATTGATAGATGATAGATAGATAGGCAGATAGATAGATGACACACGCCAACAGTGAAATAGGTATGAACTCAAAACCTTTTAAGTGAATTGACCTATAACTCAACTTACAATATTTTCGTGCTTTTATTGGATTTTATTGTTTGGTATTCTGGTTTCGTCTCCCTGTATATATTGTAAGTAACAAAGGCATAGAAAAGGCAAGAGGAGAACCTTTCAGAACAGAAATCGAGTCTTATCTAAAGTCTAACTTGACATTCGAGGCACAATAATTCCTCCAAAATGACTTTAAGGTACAATTCGCCCCCACACACTGAACTTTAACACCTCTCGAATTTCGGGGGTCTGGATGTATGACTCGGTGGTGAGTGCTGGGGTGGCATCACATACGCAGGCCCTCTGCGCGACCTTCACCCAGCACGGTAAGAAAACAAACATACCCATTTTGTAACCGGTGAGGTCTTCACAGCCACCACGTGCCAGGTGACGATCAAGGCCCATCTCCACCCACCACTGAGCTTACCACCATTTCAAGTCACTACTTGTAATTTCTCTACTTGAAGTGTTAAGTGTAGTAGCTGTTGTAAAACTATGCTTAAAACTTCTGAACCGTGACTCAACACTGAGGTGAGATGCGGCCCTGTCTGCAGAAACCAGCCCAGCAAAGGAGCAGGGTGTAAATTTGCTCTCAGGGAAGCGAACCTTAGTTGCTGTGGGGTGGACATGCTTCGCTCTCCTCACAAAGCACCGTGGGCTGCTCTGAGAAACAGCAACGCGGACAAGTCAGGGGCACCGTTGTTACAGTGCACTACTGGCACATAAGCGAAAGAATCGCCCTTCTGGTGTCAAGCTGTGCAACCCGGGTCAGCAGAATTTGCTGCCTCCTTCAGGGCGGATGAAACCACTTTCAGGCAGGAGTTGACTGCTGTCTGTCACTTGCTGTGCAAAAGCCGCCTTCAAAAATATTGTCACAGCTCGAGTGCTGTGAGATAGTGAATCTCAGCATCGACGACGCCTGAGACATATGTATCACATTCTTGCTTGATTAATGAAATGATGGACTTTTATATTCGGTTTAGTTTTTGTTACTCTAAAGTTGCTTCTTTTGCCCCGTGTGTGTGTGTCGGGTGTACAGACATGAGCACGCCCACGTGTGCCACGGCTTGCATTCGGGGTGTTGGTTTTCACCTCTTCACCTTGTTTGAACGGTTTAGCTTAGGCCAGCAAGCTACCAAGGCTTCCCTGGTCTCTCCCTGCCATCGCCTCATCGAGGAGGTTACAGACTTGCAGTCCTGAGTCCCTCTTTACACGGGTTCTGGGAATCTGAACTCACACAGCGAGGGTTTTCTCTGCTAACTCGCCCCTAGGCCTTCCCTTGTGCTTTAATGAACATAAACCGGTCTCTTCTTCTGACTGGATTTTCTCTCTCTCTCTCTCTCTCTCTCTCTCTCTCTCTCTCTCTCTCGCTTATGATTTCACTTAACCCTTTCTTGTCTACACCAAAGGAACTGCGGTCTGAGGTGGAACTGGAAGTGCTGGGAGACACAGAAGGGCTCAACCTGTCTTTCACGGCTGTCTGTGGCAATGGCGTCCTCTTCCCACACCAAAAGAAGTGCTCCCACATGAAAGTTGGGGACACGGTAGGTAGACGCACCATGGACCCCTTACAAAAATTTCAGCCCTCTCCTCCCGAGCGCTTTTGGCAAAGCCAGTCTCCACCCTGCCCGTTTCTGCACGGAGGAGGAAGCGGGTAACCGGCGTCTTCCTTTCCAGGCGTCCTTCAATGTGACGGTGAGCATATCCAACTGTGAGAAGAGGAGCCGGAACCTTGTCGTGAAGCCCGTGGGGCTGGGGGACGCCCTGGACATCCTCGTCAGTGCGGAATGCGACTGCGAATGCCAGAGGGACGTCGAAGTCAACAGCTCCCGGTGCCACCACGGGAACGGCTCCTTCCAGTGCGGGGTGTGCGCCTGCCACCCCGGCCACATGGGTCCTCGCTGTGAGTGCGGCGAGGACACGGTGAGCGCGGACGCCTGCAAGGAGTCCCCGGCTCACGCCTCGTGCAGCGGAAGGGGCGACTGCTACTGCGGCCAGTGCGTCTGCCACCTGTCGCCCTACGGGAGCATCTACGGGCCGTACTGCCAGTGCGACAACTTCTCCTGCCTGAGACACAAGGGCCTGCTCTGCGGAGGTAGGGTAGGCCGCGCGCGGCTAAGCGCCTCTTAGCTCCCGCTCCTTCTCCACATTCCTGGGCTGTAAATATTGGCTGACGGCTTCACGGGGGCGAATCGCTTGACTTGGGAGTAACTGGATTGTGGCTCGCGTTTGGAAAAAATTAACTAATAGAGAATGCCAAAGGAACAGACCGAGGAGAAGGCACGGAAATGCTTAGTAGATTTGAGGGCCTTCTCTCTCTCTCTCTCTCTCTCTCTCTCTCTCTCTCTGTCTCTCTGTTTCCATCTCTGTCTCCCTCTCTCTCTCCTCCCTCCCTCCTAAGATTCACAGTTCTCCTGTCTCAGTCTCCCAAGTGCTTAGATTACAGGTGATTGTATACTTAGCCACAAATACTCAGTAAATGTACTAAGTTAGGTCAAGTAAAGCTAGGTAAGAAAAAGCCTATGAAAAGGATGAAAGTAGAAAATAGCTTGGAATTTCTTAAAAATTTAAAGAGAAGTTTAAAATATTAATATTAACATTTTATAGATGCTTTTGTAGATATAAAAACAATATACTTTAAGAATCTGCCACAGAAGCCAGGCGTGGTGGTACAAGCCTTTAGTACCAGCGCTTGAAGGCAGAGGTAGCCAGACCTCTGTGAGTTCAAGTTCAGCCTCATCTATATAGTGAGTTTCAGACCAGCCATAGTGAGTCCCCTATCTATCTCTCAAAAAAAAAAAAAAAAAAAAGAACAGAACAAAACAAAAACAAACAATCAAAGAGAATACACTACAGACACTGGCAAGATGGTTTTGTGGTTAAGAGTACATTCTCTTCTTTAGGGGATCTGGATTTGTTTCCAGCATTCTTGACAAATGGCTTTAAACCATGTATAACTCCCACTTCATGGGCTCTGATGCCCTCTTCTGGCCTGCATGGGCACCCAGACACATGTGGCATTCACCGATACAAACACACATAAATAAAAACAATAAAACAAAGTTTTAGCCGAAGAGATGGCTCAAGGGTTAAGAGCATATACTACTCTTTCAGAGGACCTCAGTTCAGTTCCTGGCACCCATATCAGATGAATCTCAACTGCCTATAACTCCAGCTCCAGAGGAACAGACACATATGTACAAATAACAAAAATTAGTTTAAAAGTAAATCTTTTAAAAAGACAAAAAAGAATATGCTAGGTCAAAAATAACTCAAAACGATTCCGATGCATCTATTTAATTATGACCTATTCTGACAGGAATGACAAATTTTTTTAAGGGAAAATTTTACAATACAACATTTTATTAAATTTTATGAAAACCATATCAGTATCATATGATATTGCAGCATGATTATTTTATTATTTTTTTTTATTTTTTATATCAATTACAGGTTATTTGCTTTGTGTCCCAGCTATAGCCCCCTTCCTCATTCCCTCCCAATCCCACCCTTCCTCCTTCATCTCCTCCCATGCCCCTCTCTAAGTCCACTGATAGGGGAGGTCCTCCTCCACTTCCATCTGACCCTAGCTTATCAGGTCTCACCAGGACTGGCTGCAACATCCTCCTCTGTGGCCTAGCAAGGCTGCTCATCCCACGGGGGTGGGGAGGCTGGGGAGGTCAAAGAGCCAGCCATTGAGTTCATGCCAGAGACAGTCCCTGTTCCCTTTACTAGGGAAGCCACTTAGGTACTGAGCTGCCATGGGCTACATCTAAGCATGGGTTCTAGCTTATAACCATGCATGGACCCTGGTTGGAGAATCAGTCTCAGACAAGCCCCTGTGCCCAGATATATTTTCTCCTTGTGGAGCTCCTGTTCTCTCCAGGTCATACTAACTCTCTCTTCTTTCATATGATTCCCTGCACTCTGCCCAAAGTTTGGTTATGAGTCTCAGCATCTGCTTTGATACACTGCTATGTAGAGTCTTTCAGAGGCTCTCTATGTTAGGCTTCTATCCTGCTTCTCCTTTTCTCCTACTTCCAATGTCCATCCCATTTGTCTTTCTAAGTAAGGATTGATCTTCTTACCCTGGGTTCTCCTTCTTGTTTAGCTTCTTTAGGTATACAGATTTTAGTATGTTTATGCTGTCTTATCTTATAGGTCTAGTATCCACTTATAAGTGAGTATATACCATGTGTGTCTTTCTGCTTCTGGGATACTTCACTCAGGATGATCTTTTCTAGGTCCCACCATTTGCCTGAAAATTTCATGATTTCCTTTTTTTTTTTATTGCTGAGTAGTATTCCATTGTGTAAATGTACCACATTTGTCATTAGGAATGACAAATATTAACACAGTTTTAAATGTGTAAATGTGGTCCACAAGTGAAGCACTAGCTGGCTGTGGACTGAGCTCAGACACCCTAGTTACCACAGGATGTAAGCAAATATCTCAGTAAAAACACAACGGCATTCTTTTTACAGAAAACTAAGCAAGTTATATTTCCAAACCATAATGTTAGAAACTTAGTGTCAGAAACTTACCAGTGCTCAGGAGATTGAAATAGGAGAATCAGAGTGAAGGTCGTATGATTTGTCATACGACAAATTCTCCTATTTCAATTACAAAAAAGAAAACAGCAACAACAAAGAAGAAAATGAAAAAGAAAGAAAGAAAGGGCCAGGCACGGTGGTACACGCTTTTAGTCCCAGCACTCAGGGAGGCAGAGGCAGGTGGATTTCTGTGAGTTCCAGGCCAGCCTGGTCTACAGAGCAAGTCCAAGACAGCCAGGGCTCTGTAACACAGAGACACCATGTCTCGAAAATAAAAAACAAAAGAAAGAAAGAAAGAAAAACCTTACTTTTCAGGAAAAGATAAGAAAGGAAGGAAGGCTCAAAACATTTCAAATGTTTTAAAAACCACATGAAAGCATTAATCCCAAAGAAGATCAATTTTCATCCCATTTTTATTCCAACTTCATTTTCTGATTCTACTCTGTGTGTTTGTGTGTATGAACCCACAATCAGTGTTTCTGTTAGAGTTAGGCAGGACACAGCCTGTAAGTGACAAGAAGCTAGTTAATGGCAAAGCCATCATCAAATCATAGGAAGGGTGTTTTTGGGAGACGCCCACACTGCCTTTCTAGTAAAATACATGTTCAAAACACTAGAAAAAAATATTTCTGCAGGTCCCAAGTGTAATTTAATCTAATCTAATGGCATGGCAAACATCCTGATAGTCCAGCCCCTAAATTCTAGGTAAAAAGACCTAAAGTCACATGCCAGGAATTGCTGGCATGTGAAATTTCCCCATTCCTTTCTTTCTTTTTTAAAAATATGGTCAGGGTATCTGGAATATACTCAAAAAAGATTACTCAAACTATACACTGTGTAGTTAGGAAGGTCAGACAGTGATGCCTCTCTTCAAAGCAGATGCAGGAATCGCAAGAAATTCTACTTAGAAAACAATCTTTCTTTAGCTGGACTTAGAAACCTCCACCAGTGCCATGTTCTTTCACATTTTGGCAAATGATGTTGATGATGATGATGATGATGATGATGATGATGATGATGATGATGATGATGATACTCTGTAGCCAGTAGCCTTCTCTTCTAAAAAGGTAAAGTGAAAGTAAATACAAGTATTCAGATCCAGCTGGGACTAGTGGTGTGGCCTCTGTGTGTCTGGGACAGTGCGCAGTGCACGGAGGAAGCTGCACCTCGTTGTGAAGAGATGCCTTCCTCTCAGCCATGATTTGCCAAACTCACCAGACACGCCACTCTCAACTTGGAGGGGCCTCACTTACCTCACCAGCCCTGTACCTGACAGCGTGCTGCTCTTCTGAAAAGCTTTTATCACGGTGCTCTTTGTCATACAGCATCTTTCATCCATTTGTAAGCACTCAGAGAGAGAAGGCTCCATCGATTTTGTTTATCCTCGCCCAAATTCCATTAGTCTATCTTGATTCTAAGAGACTGGGAGCCATCCAAGGCAAATGGTATTAGAGGAAAAGACTTCTTGTGATTATGCACTTAGAGTTATTTTTTTTTTTTCGGTGGCGTTCCAGAAAGATCTATCCCTCTGGAAAGAGCCTGGCAAGTTTTTCTAGATCTTAGCTTATCATCTTGCTTCTACATGCCACCAATAGGAAGGTGTTAGTGTGCTGTCATGAACAGGTTTCTAAGTTCTGAATGGTGTGTCTTATAGTTTGCTGTGACAATCCTTTCTAATGTTTCAGGACAGGTTTTCTAAACTCCTGCTAAGAAATTCTGTGTGCAGAGATATACTGGGCAGCCTCAGGGCCCCTGGCAATGCACATTTATGCGTCCTGTTAATTTTCAGAATAAACTACAAGTTAGAGTTTTTCTCCCTTTTGTAGCTGATTCTCCCTTTCTGAGGAAGGAAAAAAAAAAGATATTGGATCACTTACCCATAAAAATTAATTCTTGGTTTTTACCCAAATCATTTACTCCTCTTAGTTTTGAATTCAACTATGAATTAAGTCAGTTGATAGGCTGTGAACTACGCTAGACTGTGTCTTAATATGGTGGGTCCAAATAAACTTAGATCCATCTTTCACTGGAAAGTATCTCATCGAAGTATTATACCATAGCCGGGCGTGGTGGTATATGCCTTTACTCCCAAGACCATGTAGGATAATATATAGAAACACCATGTATCTATACATACATATACACAGAGAACACACACGTATCCCATCATTCAAACACCAACTACGAAACCCTTGTGGTTTGGAGACTGACAGAGCATTACAGAAAGGGCTTTTTTATTCTCAGTCTCTTAAGGTCTAGTCATGAAGCCAGAAAAGTAGCCAAGTACTAGAACCAGATCTACAAGAGAGAAGGCAGTCTTCCGTGCCATGGTGAATTCAACAGCATCTTCTACAAGTAGATGCATGTGCCATTTACTTACTTGTAATAAAAGCATAGAACTTTTAGTATTGCTTGCCAGTTCTTCCTCCTGGATGGCTTTTAGAAACACTTCCACTAACTAGGCCCTGTGGAGCTCAGTTATGGGCCAGGCAACACGGTAAACATAGACTAACTTAGGCAACTGCAGGATTTGCTGGAAGAACAAAACTTCCCATGCAAGATGCCTATATGTATGCCATTTCTTTTTCTTTTCTTTTTTATTTATGTTTTTATTAATTACAGTTTATTCACTTTGTATCCCACCTGTAGCTCCCTCCCTCCTTCCCTCCCAATCCCACCCTCCCTTACTCTTCTCCAACCATGCTCCTCCCCCAGTCCACTGATAGGGGAGGTCCTCCTCCCCTTCTTTCTGATCCTAGTCTATCAGGTCTCATCAGAAGTGGCTGCATTGTCTTCCTCTGTGGCCTGGTAAGGCTGCTCCCCCAAATCAGGGGGAGGTGATCAAAGAGCAGGCCAATCAGTTCATGTCAGAGACAGTCCCTGTTCCCATTACTAAGGAACCCACTTGGGCACTGAACTGCCATGGGTTATATCTATGCAGGGGTTCTAGGTTATCTCTATGTATGGTCCTTGGTTGGAGTATCAGTCTCAGAAAAGACCCCTGTGCCCAGAATTTTGGTTCTGTTGCTCTCCTTGTGGAGCTCCTGTTCTCTCCAGGACTTACTATTTCCCAATTCTTTCATAAGATTCCCTGCACTCTGCTATAAATCTCAGCATCTGCTTTGATACCCTGCAGGGTAGAGTCTTTCAGAGGCCTTCTGTGGTAGGCTTCTGTCCTGTTCTCTGTTTTCTCCCTCTTCTGATGTCCATCCTCTTTGCCTTTCTGAATGAGTATTGAGCATCTTAGCCAGAGTCCTCCTTCTTGATTAGTTTCTTTAGGTGTACAGATTTTAGTATGTTTATCCTATATTATATGTCTAATATCCACTTATGAGTGAGTATACACCCTGTGTGTCTTTCTGATTCTGGGATACTTCACTCAGGAAGATCTTTTCCAGTTCCCACTATTTGCAAATGTCATGATTTCTTTGTTTTTGATTGCTGAGTAATATTCCATTGTGTAAATGTACCACAATCTCTGTATCCATTCCTCAACTGAAGGGCATCTGGGTTGTTTCCAGCTTCTGGCTATTACAAATAAAGCTGCTATAAACATGGTTGAGAAATGTCCTTGGTTGTATACTTGAGCATCTTTTGGGTAGGTGCCTAGGAGTGGTATAGATGGATCTTGAGGTAGCATTATTCCTAATTGTTTGAGAAAGTGCCAGATTGATTTCCAAAGTGATTGTACAAGTTTACATTCCCACCAGCAGTGGAGGAGGGTTCCCCTTTCTCCACATCCTCTTCAGCATGTGTTGTCACTTAAGTTTTTTATCTTAGCCCTTCTGATGGGTGTAAGGTGAAATCTCAGGGTCATTTTGATTTGCATTTGCCTGAAGACTAAGGACACTGAGCATTTCTTTAAGTGTTTTTCTGCCATTCTATATTCCTCTATTGAGAATTCTCTGTTTAGCTTTGTACCCCATTTTTTAATTGGATTTTTGATTTGTTGCTGTTTAACTTCTTGAGTTCTTTATATTTTCTGGATATTAGCCCTCTGTCAGATATAGGGTTGGTGAAGATCCTTTCCCAATCTGCAGGCAGTCGTTTTGTTCTGATGACAGTGTCCTTTGCTTTACAGAAGCTTTTCAGTTTCATGAGGTCCCATTTATGGATTGTTGCTCTTAGAGCCTGTGCTGTTAGTGTTCTGTTCAGGAAGTTGTCTCCTGTGCCTTTCCCAAAAGGATCTGTTATGAGTTTGTAAATAAATGCTATTTTTTTTTGAAACAAACAAATTTGTTTTAACATCCATGGCAAGCACTCAAAAATCCATGGGAAGGATGCTTTTCTGAAACATACTATTTACCACCTTAGAGTGTTTTAAAAGCCATTTTGTGGCCTGATCTAAAAGGGGCTCTTGAATGCCACAACCATCTGCACCATTGGCTCTGCCCTGTGGAACTAGCATTGTTATTGAGCAGATTTCCATCACGTCTCCTTACTTCTCCCCACCCCCACCCCCAAAGTGTATGCAACTCAATTCTTCTAACTATCTTTATCCATCAGTGTGTCCAGGCACCTCCTCCTGCAAAGCTGGTCTGCCCTGGGCGTCTGCGGCGGCATAACTCCCATCGCCCTCCTCCTTTCAGCCTCTCCTATAAGGAGCCTTTCCTCTGATTGCGTTTTACAGGCTGATGCTGTCCAGAGCTTTTCATGCTCTGGATGCTTGCCCCAGATGATATGATTCACAACCACCTCACCTGAAAGCCTTTCCTTGATGGATTCTGAGCTCCTTGTCTATATTATTCAACTGCCTTCTAAGATTCCCAACAGTCCTTTCTCCTTCAAACTCAACAGAACCATAGAGACTCACTGTCCAACCCAGCCAAAGCTATTTTCCTCTTCTGCTTCAGAACCATTCAGTCATTCACCAGCTGATGTCCACTGTATACCAGGTGTGGATTACAGCAGTGAACAAGAGCCAGCTTACGCATTAAGGCAAAAGAAAGCTGTGCCACCAGCTGGCTATCCAGCCTGCTGACCTGGCGAGGGTTCTCTCTCTCTCTCTCTCTCTCTCTCTCTCTCTCTCTCTGTTCATGCTGCACTGTTGCCAGCCTTTCCCTGGCCTGAGCATCCTGGCTTACATTGTTTATCCTTTCATCTCTGTTCTCCAGGCTGCTGCCAGGGGTCAGCTTCTGCTCCTGCATGACCTTGCCCCTGCCTTTCCTGCCCCCCACTTAACCTCTCTGTGAAATGTCTGCACACATACCTGTCTGTTCAGGTCACTTTCTTAGGGAAAACTTGAGAACCTTCTGGGAAAATACTTTCTTTATCCATGTGGTTTTTCATCGTCTCACTTCTGACACTCTGGGCTTTCCCTTCTCTCCTTTGCCGCAGCCATCAGGCTCTGCCCTAAGAAGCTTCCCTGGTTGTTGCACACATTTTCCTCACCTCCTGTCGTCTCTCTGAAATGTATGCAACCCCCTTCTATCTTTATCTCCCCAAAATCATCTCAAGCATTGCTTCCTCCGGAAACTTTCCCAAAGCCCTAGTTAGTTTAGAAACTCTTCCTCCCTGCCCCCTAGACTCAGCATGTATATTATAGTTAGCACTAGGGCTAATACTTTGCCTGCCTCCCACACTAGAGGATAAATTCAGTAATCTTGTGCTATTGAATTCTGCATCTCTGTTGCCTGATGCACTCAAGACTGGAACCATAATTGACTCTTAGTTTCCATTACCCACTACATTCTAAAGCTAAAAATCAGACCAAAAATTGATGAATGAAATTAGGCTCATTACAATTTGACCCACTGGGAAAAAGGGGTTGGGAAAAACCCCTAATTGCTTTTAATGTTTGCTGAAACAAAGGTCAGGGGCAGGTAGATTTGGTTATAAGACATGTTATCTCTAAATCCTTTCCAGAGGGAGGTGGCTTTGCTACTGCTGTTACCTGGGCTGACCCTATTCTCTGCGTAGGAGGTCTGTTATACTGTCACATCCTCATGTCCAAGAAAATCTCTGTCACAGAGTATATGCTCAGTTAGAATCTGCTGAATAATGAATTTGTCAATGCTTAGTATACACCAGTGGAACAGCTAACAGGGGCACGTTAAACCAGAATTTTTCACCACAGCCACTGGAAGCAAATTTTTATCCCTACGCTTCATAAGGGAGGATTTTTCAATGATTCAGCTTGAGTGATAGAGAGGGATGGGTACTAATCCAGGTCTGTCCTTCATCTCCATCCTAAAACCCAATGGACAATTCACCAAAGAGCTCCGATGGGCTTGTCTGTGTGGTCTCATTTTGACTGAATACTTACTCTGTTTGCTGTAGTTGATTCTCAGCTAGGAGATGAATTAGTGAATACCCAGAGCCAACAACACACACCCTCTCAGTCTCTCTGCCTCTGTCTCTGTCTGCCCTCTCTCTCTCTGAATCTCTCCATCTCTCTCGGCAACACCACATGCGTCTTACGTGTGTTACAGGTAACGGCCACTGTGACTGTGGCGAATGTGTGTGCCGGGAAGGCTGGACTGGCGAGTACTGCAACTGTACAACCGGCAGGGGCCCGTGCACGTCTGAAGACGGAGTGCTGTGCAGTGGCCGCGGCGACTGCGTCTGCGGCAAGTGTGTCTGCAGGGACCCCGGGGCCTCAGGCCCCGCCTGTGAACGCTGTCCCACCTGCGGTGACCCCTGTAACTCTAAACGGTGATGTCTCTGCTTTTTATTCTCTCTTCAGGGGCTAGTTTTCCGTGGGATCAAAGTCTGAGTGATATCTAGTAGACTCAAACCTTCCATTGTCTCAGCTGGGTATAGCCTCCCAGACATGTCAAAACTCAGAGCCCAAGGGCCCCTGTGATTCCCCAGCCTGGACTGTCAGCCTCTCACCGGCCTTGTTGTGAGTCCTGACTACCCACGGCCTCAATGTCACGCTTCTGCGAGTGACAGCAGGGGAAGTACCACTGATGCCCCACGCTGGTACCTCAGATGGCCTCTCAGCGTCCTGTTGACACTCACAGGCGCTCGGTACCTTTTCTGGGGAAACAGACAACCTTCTTCGTAGACCCGTCTAGGCTGACCTTGCAAGATTTGTTCCCATCCTGGTAGACCAAGAAGGCAGAGGCTGGAAAACAGTCTCAGCTTTCCCTTCCCTCCCTCCTTATCACCATACACTTTGGCCCTTTTGTGTGGTTATCATTATGCATATATATTGTGGGTTGTTTTTTTTTTTTTTTTTTTTTACGGGATGAGAACAGATTTGGTAGGTCTCCCATGGCAGGCCTCCAAAAGACCATTGTGAAGTCACATTGTACCTGGTAAGCCTCGAATATGACTGAGCAGTTCATAGTTTCATTAACTCTGATTCATGGAATGGGGACATTTGCATTTCTGCCGTCCACAAGGAAGAAAATCGATTTCCCCCGTGGTTTCCTGCCAAGCAGGTGTCAAGACTTTTCTGTCACTGTCCCTGGCAAACTGAGACACATGCCAGAGCATGGGGCTTGATTCCGAATACTTAAATAAAATCAAATGTAAACTGGCAGCTGGAGTCCAGTGCCAGAGTGATTGCCCAGCATCCACAAGTCTCTGGGTTCAATCCCCAGCACGGCCACCAACAAAAGAAGTAGAGTTACTTCAAGGCATTTCTTTTATTGCTCTTCTGCTTCACCCCCTTTGTAAACACGAGTCAGTGCTTTATCTGGTTTGTGGGATGTGAAATTAACAAAGCCAGTCCAGTTTGGAAACAAGCATCATCGACTCGCTGGTGTTAGTTTTGCCATGTGTCTATCCTTCCTTTTACCCAAGCTGGCATTCATTTACCTAACAAGTATTAAGCACCTGCTGTATGCCACAAGTGGTCTCAGGTCATATGCATGTAGTGAAATAATTATGGTTTCTACCTTCATAAGTGCTAAGGGTCTAATGGAAAGAGAGAATTCTATCCTTCACCCATGTGTATGTGTGCATATTTGCATGTGTGTGATGCACTTGTATGTGCTGGTGAGTGTGTATGGGTTTTGTAGGCCAGGAGTAGTTCAACCTCAGGTGTCTTCCTTGATCACTTTCCCCTTCATTTATGGAAGGAAGCTCTCCAGGTCTAGACAGTCTGGCCAGCCAGCTTGCCGTGGCTCCTGTCCTGCCTCCTGAGTGCTGGGGTTACAGGTGGTTGCCGTGCTTGCCTGGCTTTTATGTGGGCTCTGGGGATCTGGGCTCTGGTCCCCACACTTGCACGGCAAGCTCTTTATCCACTGAGCCATCACCCAGTGCCATATCTTTTTCAAGTAATTATCACACATGCAAACATATGAGGGCTGCCAGTCACAACGGGGATGCCGAGGGTGCTATGGAGCTACAGGGCAGGAGAGGTCAGTCTTGCTGGGGCAGTCACAGTGAGATACACAAACGTGGTTTGGAGACTGCCTACAGTGTGCCCCAGGCCCCCACCAAGTCTGCCCAGATCTACTTAAAACACGAAAGCAGCTTCAAGAGAAGATGTGTGCCCTTATTCCCTCAGGGTGGCTGAACAAGAGCCTGCCTATCCAGCAGTGGGTCTCAACCTGCAGGTCGAAACCCCAGTATGACCCAGTGGGGGTCACATATCAAATATCCTGCAGAGCAGATATTTATGTTAAGATTCATAACAGTAGCAACATTACAGTTAGGAAGTAGCAATGGTATAAGTTTATGGTTGGGGGAGGGTCACCAGAGCAAAGGAAGTACGGATTCAGGTTCGGAGACAGACTCAGGTCCATCTCCAATGCATGTTGTGTCCGCACAGTAAGAAACATTTGCATATTTGTCTTACTCCAGACTGAATCTATTTGTAAAACTATTTATAGCACAAGCCTAATTCAAGCCTATGTTTCACTTTGGTCTATAGACACCTTTAAAGTAGTATGATTTCCTTGTATCCTTGGAAATATACTTTTCTATAAGCGGCAATCTTTTGAGAAGCCTGAATTAATGAAGATCCAGGCTATAATCCTAAGCTTTAAGAACCCACTGTCAAGCCTTATACTTATTCAAAAGAGTAACAGAAAATTGAATTTTAGAATAATCGCATTTGACATATATTAAGAGCACTCATCATTAGAATTCCTGCTGGGATAGGGATCATTTGTGTTAAGAAATTCATAACTTTGTCTAGACTCTGATCATATTTATGGATATAAATGCTACCTTATATTTGAAAATGTGAGTAGAAAATATAGCTAAGTCAAATACTGAAGTATTTTTTTTTCTTAACCAATCAGAAGCAATCACTGCAGGGAAAATAATGATGACATAGGCTGTTATCAAGGCTGGCTCGGGGGACACTAATTATGGCGTAGAAATGAGAACAATTTAGCATCCTCCTAGATGTCACCCACCCCAGCTCTCTTTCTTGAGAGTGCTGAGAGGTCAACGTCGCCCGCCAGTGAAGAGCTTCAAGGGCCATGCCTCGGCAAGCCCGTTCTCCACTGCCAGGAGCTGATGAACCCTGTTGTCCCACCCGCAGGAGCTGCATCGAGTGTTACCTGTCTGAGGACGGCCAGACGCAAGAAGAGTGTGTGGACAAGTGCAAAGCCACCGGGGCCACCATCAGCGAGGAAGGTGCTCCTTGTCTTAAATCACGTAGTTCTTGTGTGAGTCAGGGGGCTCTTAGTGACTGGACTTCATTTGTACCAGGAACTGGCTGGTCGAGTTCCCTGCCTCCCCCCTCCCCCCTCCCCCCCCCGAACACCCCTTTGAAAAATAAATGCATTTTCGAAAGCTGAAGGAGTGATGACGACTTGAGGACCAAGCAACTTAAAGCCATGGCTAGTCCTCAGCTTTGTTAGAGAGCTCTCGCCTGCTTGACAGGGGTGGCAGTAGAGAACTCTGCAAGGCTGTATTTTCCAAACTAGTAAGAAGGAAATTGGAGAAATGGCTGCTACGTCCCACTGGCAGCCTGAAATTTTCCCTTATCACGGATTACCCTATTTCGAGATGAGATAAAGCCTGCAGTAACAGTTTGCCTGACTGCGCTCTACAAATCCCGGAAGTATTTCACTCGGTAGCTGGTTTTGGTCTATCCTTCCACTGTCCCTCCAAGGCTTTCACTCCCAGCCTGCCAGCTGTGGGCATTACATCATCATTACTTGGTGCCTTTTGGCTCATCCTCCAAATTCAAGAAATCCCTCTTCTAACTGATAATCACATGGAACGTCTGTTTTCATCTGTCATGTTTAATTATTTAAAATGAGAATCTATCGGCAAAGACCCATAACAAATATTTAACACAACTGCATTTTAGCTGAACAGAAAAGATAACATATATAGCCCATAGGGTACATGTATTGAAGAGATGGAGTTAGAACGTGGAAATTAATGTATTTCCAAAATAGAATATAGAAGGACATTTATATACAGCTTTTAAAGTACTTTCCCTCAAAATTGTTGTGATGCTGCAGTTGAATTACTGGGTGGGACAGGACATGATGAGTGCCCATAAAACCCCTCATCTGTGCTTTTCTGGTGACTGGGAGATAAATATGCCAAATAGCAGCAAATGGAATGACACGCTGTGCGCTTTGCCTGACACCAAAGGTGAGACACATTAACGCGCTGAGGAGGAGCAGCATTTGTGGAGTGTCCCCGTCAGTAACTAGTACGCATCTCAGTGTATCCTCCAGGCTCAGTTCACAGCAGTGGCCGTGTTCACCAGCTGTCTCCGGGAAAGGAGCAAAAATTGCAGAAAATGCCCGCAAATGACTAGGCTCAATTCACCAGCAACCTGGGAAATGCAATGTGGTGGAAAAGGCCGTGAAGGAGCGGGGCCATCGTAAAGGCGTGAACTGTGGCAAAGCTCACAGTTCTCAGAGCAGGTTGTCAAAGATGTTTGGGTTTGAGAGGAAGGCTCGCTTATGTGGCGTTTCCAATACTTACGTTCTTCTGTGTTTGGCCAAAGTATCTTTAAAAGAGAAGGATGCTACTCCTTCCAAGTTGGGAGATGAAAATAGCCAGTGGCCTATTAACCCTCTCTGAGCACCAACCCAGACAAACGTGAATGAAAAGAGGCTTGTCTGATTGCAAGCCTTCTCATAAGACCCGTTTTGAGCCCCTAACCCCCTGATGTCACCATCACACTGCTTTGAAAAGATGACATCACGTTTGCTCATCTAAGGTTCCTTTAGTACCAACTTTGCTTGGACATGGAGTAAAACAGCCTTATGGTATAACTCATAAATCCGCCCACTGCGCATGACTGACGGGTGGGTCCATCTAACATTCTTCATTCCATTTTACTGAAAGAGCCATGCATCTTAATTTATCCCACTATTCCAGACACTCAGATCCCTGTTACTCAGTGTGCTCCACCAAACACCATCTCTGAGAAGTTTAATGAAATAAATCACCCACAGTCATACACATTCTGGAAATGGGAACTGAAGGACCCCAGAGCTTTCCAAGTCTTCAGAACTGCTATGAACCTTTAATTAAACATGAGTGTGGGTCACCAGGAAAGGCAGGAGAAGGACTAAAGTAAAAAAGATTCCCAAATTTATCTCATCATAGAACCACCCACCCCAAAACATCACCACCACCTTTGGGAAACTGTCAACTTCCACGACTGTTAGCTGATCGCAGAGCTGAGGTCTTAAAACTCAGGGCTATGAGTCAATAGTATAGACATTCATGTTCTCTACATTTTTCCCGGACCTTCCATACCTGCCTCTACACATACACACACACACACACACACACACACACACACACACACACTCCATGACAAGTACATGTCTACCTCCCTAAGCGTGATTTCCCCAGCTGTCTGAAATCTTATTTCCCCTGTATTATTCAGTGGCAGTAATTCAAGTCTCACAAAGGAGTTGTGGGGAGAGAAAGAAAGAAAGAAAAAAAGAAAGAAAGAAAGAAAGAAAGAAAGAAAGAAAGAAAGAAAGAAAGAAAGAAAGAAGAAAGAAAGCCATTTTCTATGAAAAACAAAAGAGAACCTTAGCAGCTAATTATGCAAATCTTTCATTGCACATCCGATACTATTTCCACACCCAAACACTACAAAACAAGGCACATTTAGCCTGCCAAGAGAAGGACTAGTGGGGCACAAGGCAGGAGTGTGACTCAGAGGTCAGATCCGCAGTTCCATTAAAACTTAAATAATCCTGGCCTCGGAAAGTAAGCCTCCCTCTGCTTCAGTGTGGCTATTTAAAAGAAAATAAAGAGGCAGGCTTAGTATTACTGAAACAAGGATGATAAGCCCTGCACACACTTTCAGCCTGAGAGCCTGATGCCCCATTAAGTGAGCTCGAGAGTGGTGTAAGCTCTCACTTCGGTGGCAGACACGAAGAACGAGATGCAAAATGCAAAAGCACACTCCCCAGACTTCATGAATCTTAGTGACTGAAGGGGAAGCTAGGCAGTGGTGAAGGTCCTGTAAAAGAAAACACACTTTGAATTCAATAGGGGTGCCTGCCATTTACCATCAAACACGTGAAATAAACAACACAGGCCGTGCTCATCCGGAGTTGCCAAGAGTTTCCCATATCTCTTCATCCAAGGCACCTGATTAGAATGTGTATTAAGTCACTGCCTAATGCCCAAGTCCTGTGCATGTCATGGACTCTTCCATTAAAACACCTGAGGTGGGGCCCCAGGATTGGTATTTTCAAATCTCCCAGGTGAGTCAGATGATCCTATGCATATGAATATTTCCAAACGAGGATAATTTGCATTATATTTCCTAATATTCATATGTCCATAGATAGATGCTTCTAATGAGTTAAAAAACAGTTCATGTAAATCTACTGCACAAAATCTCATTTAGAATGCGGAATTTATTATTTACTCGTTCCTATTATGAATGATAAGAAGCATATTAGTCACAGGTCCTGGTGGGCTTGTCTCTCAAAAATTAAATGCAAATACAGCGAGCAATGACAACTTAGTATTTCTATTATTTTATGACTAGCATTTCTGTGCCCTAAATAGCCAAAAATTGGCTATTTCTTTTTTGTTTTGTAAGAATACACACACAAAAACACACACAAAAAAATATTCTATTTTATTAACATCCTTAGGAAACTCTTAAGCTAATGAGAAAAATCACGGTCTAGGACGAGAATACCCAAGATTATCTGAGGCAGTTTGATTTTCATAATCTATCTTTACATATGAATATTGGCTCATATGCCTTAGAAGTTTAGATTAAGAGTAAATGTTATATTAATTGTAGGTTTCTGAAAAATGTAATGTCATCAAAAATTTCCAACTTAGAACGAGAATCATGAAGTTAAACTGTTTTGGTTTAATTCAGAAAATGCAGAGTAGCTGAGCCGCCAGAATTTTTGTTGTGTGACCTACGAGTTTTAAAATTTCATTCCCAATTATTACCATGAAATTCATTTTATAAATTTTGATGAAGCCTCACAAGGAAAAATATTTAATTTGGGAAAGGTTTGAGGAAAACTTCAGTCTCTTGTTAAGAAAGAGGGTGCACTGAGTGTTAGACAGCGGTTACCCTGGGTTCCTTTTCCTTGGAAGTTTCCCTTTATCCTGGGAGTCTCTGAGATACAGAACACCGCTATCCCCGTTTCCTGACGTTCATTTATTCTCACCGTGTGACTACTGAAGCCTGCAGTCCTGGCTGAGCACTGTGAGGGGCCCCCTCTACTGGCATCAGTATCCGACTGCACTGAGAAGCAGTGTAATCTAGCCAGCCTCCCAGATGCTCTGCAGAGAGGAGCACGCAGCCCCCTCATTACCACAATCAAGCACCTGCCTTGTGCTGCTTTCACTCTATTGAGATCTGCTTGCATCAGACTGATAGGTAATTTTGGTGGTCAGTCCTGATGGACCACATCTGGAGCCGTTCTTCAACCAAAGCTCTCAGTTGATGGGGGAAAAGAATCCTATGCCTTTCAATTCCCATTTGTCGGTATTGCAGATTCCAATTTACATATTAAACTCAATACTACCTTGCTTTAAAAATTTGAAATCTCCCTTTAACCTAATGAATGACTCTTTCATCTGCAGATTTTTCGAAGGATACTTCTGTTTCCTGCTCTATACAAGGAGAAAATGAATGTCTTATTACATTCCTAATAACTGCGGATAACGAAGGGAAAACCATCATTCACAACATCAGCGAACAAGGTGGGTAGCTTGTGTTCCCTTGCCAATAGCAAGTGATAATGCCTGGTAGAAGGCATCCGGAAAGTCACTTGGAGGTAACTTGGCAGAAAAGGTATTTCAAAGTCTGGGTGAAGTGATTCTGCAAAGGTTGAAAGATCCTCATTAAACCCTCTGCTGTGTTCCCATGTCTTTTATTAAGATGAGGTAACATGATGACTTTCATCCAAATGGAAGTCAGGCATCATCTCCCTGACAGCTACACCTACTGGCATTGTAGAAAGGAGAACCGAGACAGCGTAAGCAACAGGTGTTCTTTCAGAAAAACTGGCAAAAAGGAGTGCAATGGATTTTTAAAGCCAAGTTTAAGCTGTGGTTCAAATACTGTTTTGTTGGGCAGCCACTGCCTGAGATTGTGGGATACACTTGTCTCTCCAAGCCTCTTATTTCCTCATCTGTAAAATGGGAAAAATAACGGCACAATCTTCTAAGAGGTAACACAAGAAATAAATGGAATAAGGAACGTAACATGTGTGTCGTAACAATGGTTCCTTAACAATAATGTTGGATGAGGAAAGACACAAGACAACAAATAACTGTGTGGCTATAGAAGATGTCAAAGTGCTAGGAGAGCCAGCATACACCTATAATCCCAGTATTCAGGAGGATGAAGCGGAAGGATTCCTTTGAGCTTGAGGCAGCCTCTGCTTAGTGCCTGGTACCAGACCAGGCCAGCCAGGAGCCCATTGCTTCTGTGCTTCTACAGATTTTCAACCGTGTCCACACATGGAATGAGTTTCCAACACAGGGATGCTCCCGTAGAAATTACATCTCCAGCCAAGGGAAAAGACGAGTTTAGATTATACGGAAGGAGAAGCTGTGGAGAACGCATCTTTAAGAAGCTTTCAAATTGTGTGGGTATCAGACCGCTCTGCAGTTTAGCTGAAATGCCTGTACCCTGAGTCAACAGGCCTGCGCGCACCGCGCCTTCACACGCACGCTACAAGCCTTCCTTCAGGGCCATGATGTTAACCCCGGCTGTGTTCTTCCACACTCACAGGTGCCTTGTATTTTCTGTCTTTACCAATGGCCAACCCCTCCCTAAAATTTCCCAGAGCAATGGCAGCTGCATTAAGTCAGACTTCAGCAGACTTGGGTCAGGAGCCTAAGGTCAGGCCCAGACTGAAGCAGTGCACACTGGGTAGAAAGCAGGTGGGTTTGGGTGTGTGCTCTTGCTTGCTGGTAAAATGTTAAGTCCCGAATTTGAAACCAAAGCTATCAGATTGCTATCACCCCAGAGACTGAAAACCCAAGTCATAGCAAAACGCCTGCAAAGTGGGTTTCAACCTCATGTTACAATCAAGAAAACGATGAGAGAAACATCACATTGTCGTGCCGGAGGACAAGACAGGTGGAGGTCAGGCGCAACCCGTGAACTATGGGGATGGACCTGAGCACGGTATTGCTGTTTGTGAGGGCAGGATGCTCCTGGCGACAGGCACTTAGAACGTCAGAAACACAAAATGCTGCATCTTGCAGCCATCAGTTAGGAAAACGCTGAGAAACCAAATTACTTCATAGTACAGAGAAACCCCTGCCTTCTCATTACCAGCTTTGGAAAGTCAGGCTCTCCTGCTGCAGCCCCGGCGCTGTGTTTCTAATTGTGGCAGTGACTTTAGCATGTTATCCTGAAATCAAAGCCACCCCTTAAAATATTGATTCTATTGAAAAAACACATCCCCCAGACAACAAAACCGCCTTCTGCAGAAGGCCTTGCTTTCCGATGTGCGGGCTTTTGTGCTTGACTGGTTTGATTTTCTCTTCTTTCTTCTCCTTCCTGCCTCCCTCTCACGGAACATGCCTTCAGCTGATAAACGCTGTCTTGTTACTGAGTGTTGTCTGTTCTTTTATTCTTGTACGCAGTGTGAGTGACACGCCAACGTGCCCTCCTTCAGGGCACTCACAGATGCCTCCTGCCTTTTTATTACACTGTCTTGTTTATCCCTATTCTTTCACAGTAAGGAAAAGGGAAGACAAAGCTATCTCCCTGGATTTCACAAGGTCTTCTGACAGGCCCAAGGGTACCTCAAAGAGCACTGAGACCTGTGGCTCTGAAGTTAGAAGCTGGGATAAAAAGGGAGGCAAAATGAAAGACAAGGAAAAGGAAGGAGAGGTTGAGGATTCCCAGTGTCCTCTAAGTGAACTGGAAATGGAGCTGGTCCTGAGTGCTCACTGTTGCTGAGGCAGGCAGGAGCATCACTCACCTCACGTCTGCATAGAGTGTCAGAGCCTACAAGCCATGCCAGGTGTAAAAAAAAAAAAGACAGCCGACAGCCGAGCTCTCTTTGCTCGAAGAAGCCAGTCACTCAGCATCCGGGCCCCTGCCTTCTGGGAGACAGAAAAGAGAGAGGAATGCTTCTGTTGTTGCAGTCCCTTTGTATGCAGGGTCTCTGCGTCACTCCCATTTCCTAAGCGCTGATTTCACTCAGTATCTTCAAGAAACCTGGAGAGCGGGCACTAGGACTATTTTTGTCACAGGGGGGAGGAAATCGAGGCATGGAAACAAATGCATTGCTAGGTCCTGCAGTAATTTAACACAGATATGTTTGCTTGAGGAACTCTAACCAGCCTGGCTGGGAGCCCAGGCTCTTAACCACTGTATCACACTGCCTCCCGCTGGCTACCCAACTGTAATAAGTATCTGAATCTATAAGATGTCAGCAATGTCCAATAGGACTGTTAGGTGAATTCTATACCAAATGTATTATTTTCTAGAAACCACATTAAGTAGTCAAAAAAAAAAAAACAAAAAAAAACAAAAACAAAAAAAAAACAACAGGTGAAATTTGTGTCTTTGCCATCGTATTGAAAATATTCTCACTTCAACATGAAGTCAACACAAAAGTCATGAAGGTGTTTCACATTTTCGTGCTTAGACTGTGAGATAATTGTTTAATACTTATGGCACAACCTGAGTTAGATGTCATATAGCCTGTGCCCAATGGCGGAATATGGTGTAGCTACCGGCTTAGACAGAGCTGAGAATTAGATGTTCAAGACCTCAGCATTAGGTACAGCAGTGACCCAACTTGACAGGCAACATTACACATAGGAGTAGAGCTAACCCTCTCCTCCCACCTACGTACCTATCTTTGGTCCATGCACCAAAAAATATATGGAGAGCATGAAAAGTAAAGGGTCATACCTACCTTGGAACTTGGGCTAACACTTTTTCCTGAGAAGGTTTTAAAATGATTCTCTCTCCCAAGCCATAACTTTCCCTCATTGATCGAGCACCCTCCTGGTTGGCTTTCTAGGTCCTAGCAGGCTACATCGTTCTGTGGAACGATGCTATGTACCTGCCCATCCATTTCTTGGCCAAAGATATAGCTAGATCAGTATATTTTCTCGGAGACACAGGCATGCTTCATTGGCTTGCTCCAATACAACCTTTAGGTCTTGGTAATGTAGTAAGTAGGCCATTGGCAATTGCTATTTCTTCATAATGTCCTTTCATGGTTTCCTAACCAGAAAAAGTGTCTGAGACCAGGCATCTTGCTGTTAGGAAGTCACCAATCCCCTCAGATCCAGGTCTGAAAAGCTGCATGATCAGTTCTCTTATCAGCTATCTACAAGTGACATTATGGAGAACAGACTAAGCCTGATTCATTTCTTCGCCCAGGACTGTAGGGTTTTTGCTTCACCTATTGTGGAGGAATGCAGATATTTAATGATCATTTGATGTGGAATTTCTTCCCAGGATAGCAAAAGAAGGCCTTAATTATAATGTTCCATTAAGAGATCTGTTATCTTGCAGGTGATCGGTTGCAGGAAGGTGTAACCGCAATAACACAATAACACCATCAATAGAGCCAAAATGACATTTCATGGAATCTTCATGTTGAGCGAACCTAATCCCCTACACTTCCCTGGTCATAAGACAGACTGTGAATATTACCTGTGGTATTACCCAAGACCCACTGAAACAGAATATCCTGGGAGAGCTTGGGAGTGGAGGTGGTCTAGGAGGCTATGGTCTTGATAAGCAAGACCATGTTTCTGTCATTAGGGAAGTTGAGGGAGGGCTCTGTTTGAGCTCACAGGGACTCAATGGAATCCACACAACTACTGTACATGAGATGAGAATTGAGCCTGTCCTCTTCTGGTCTGAGAACATCTGGGAAGTCAGAGCATTGAATTAAATATGAAGCTATGGTTGTCTTCTGTCTTTAAAAAGGGAAGGGCCAAGGGACCTGCAGTACAGTGAAAGCTCTTCAATTCTGTAGATGGAATCAGAGGCTTTGCTTATAACTAGCCAAGTGTTCTGCACTCCCAGCCCTTGGTTTGTGAGACAGGGTCTCACTGCAGAGCTCAAATTAGCCTTCAACTTGCTTTGTAGCCTAGGCTAGCATCAGACTCCTGCATTTGCCTGCTGAATGCTGGGATCGCAGGCACGATCAACCAGGCTGGACTAATAATTTTTAGCATAATCCTGAGACTGTTCACAATTTAAAGAGCTTCTTGACAGAATAATTATATTACCAAAGTAGTAGTTGTATACTCTGGAGAAATTATCTTTGGAAATTACAATGTAGTATTTTTCATGGTCCTTTAAATATTTCATGTATATTAATTGTCACTCTGTCCTGTTAAGGTTTTAAGGTCAACCATCCAATCTATAGCCATCTCCCCATATCTGCAGGAATTGGGTTCAGATCCACCTGTGCCAAATATACCAAAATCTGTGAATTCTGAAGGCCCTTATATGTGTGTAGGATTTACACACATATTATTGTATACCTGAAGTCATTTCTAGGTTACTTACAAAATGTGATATGGGGCTTGAAATGTAGCTCAGTTGGTAGAGTGCTTGCTTGCCTAGCGCATATGAAGTACTGGGGTCAACTGCAGCACTATATAAAACCAGGTATAGCAGAAAAATACCTGTAATCCCAGCCCTTCAAAAGTAAAGGCAGGAGATTCAGGTGTTCGAGGTCATCCTTGGCTGTGGAGTTTGAGGCCAGCCTGGGATGCAAGAAATGTTATTAGAAAGAAGAGAGAGAGAGAGAGAGAGAGAGAGGAGAGAGAGACAGAGACAGTGACAGAGAAAGTAGAGAGAGAATTGAAGAGTGAGATGGGTATTCCAAGGATATAGATGGCTATTTATAAATTCACTTTGAATTGCTTTGAATCTTGTTTGTTTCGCTGAGAATAAATATAAACCTATCTTTAAACAAGTAACTCAGTTTTAGGAAAAAAGTTCAACAAGACAAGAAGGTATCAGCATTTACCTTCTTTTGTCAACAATATGTAAATAAAAAATCCAGTGAGAAGGGTCTTTCCATTCCGTACAGCTCAGTGAGAGAAGAATTACCTAGTATGTTCTGTGCCCAGTAGGTTCAATCCCTGTGTTTCAGTAAGGGGTGGAGAAATCTTATTACAGTGAAGTATTAATAGTAGCAGCTTCTAAAGGTTATTCCATCTGCTCCCACAGACTGCCCCAAACCTCCAAACATCCCCATGATCATGTTGGGAGTATCACTGGCTATCCTGCTCATCGGAGTGGTCCTGCTGTGTATTTGGAAGCTGCTGGTATCATTTCACGATCGGAAGGAAGTTGCTAAATTTGAAGCAGAGCGATCAAAGGCCAAGTGGCAAACGGTATGTGAACTCAGGAGACCTGATGATGGAAATGGTCAGGGGCTCAGCCATCTTCTGTCAGGGACTCAGCCATCTTCTGTAGACAAGAGTTCAGTTGTCACCTCTACAACCACCCTCAGTGTCGTCCCGACAGCTTTAATTTCTCTCTTAGCGAGCACAGGAACCCATTGTCTGGTCCCGGGTTATTCTCACGCCTTATGGTGTCTCAGTGGATGGGCTCGTAACAGTTGAAGAGGCTCATGAAACCCCTGCCATGGTGACTTAGGGCTGTTGCGGAGGCAAACTTATGACGTAAAGCATAGGTGCTGTATCTAAACATTTTTGTAAATTGATTGTGTTCTAGCTAATGGGATAATACTCACGGATAGTATGACAGTTCATGCCAATTTCCATGGAAATACTTGTTGCTGATATAATAGGTGACAAAGCAAAGCTGACAAGCTTTTTTAAATACCAGGCAGCTTCTTCTGAATAACATAAAATTTAAGTAGCTACAAGAAATAAACCTCTAAATATATGTATTCAACAGATATAATTTAAATGTTGTCTCAGTAGACAAACAGAAAACAGGACTACAATTTTCAGCGTTTCTTTTCCACAGGAGAGATAATTACATTTCTAGAGACCCCTGAAAACAATTTCATGGTTTTAATTTCATCTCTCAATCTCTAATGGTGTGCCTAGCTACCTAATAGCAATTATCTTACAGCGCTGATTCCAAAAACAGTGAACTCACTGGAGAAAATGCAGGCAAACACTGCGCCTTTGGGTTCGTCTGCCTAAATAAATTAATGTTAACACTGTTTTCCCTAAGCCTATACCAACACCCTCAGTTCTGAAGGCAAATGGAATTTTCCATTTTTGGATAATGAATGTTTATATTTGGGTGAATTATTTCAAGCTACCCATAATGTACATCACAGGACAAAGGCCAATAAAGATGTTAGTCTACCCTATCTTTTGAGGTAAAATGCTTTAGCTATAATAAACAAATGTGATCTGTGGACCTTGTTTAAGTCCTGACTTGAAGAGTCCAACTGTAAAATTATATTTTTAAGGTAACTGGAAAGAGGCTGACGCACTCTGGATGCTAGAATGATGGCAAGGACGTATGTTCAATTTGAGTAGGCATGACAAAGGCATGGTAGTTACAGAGTCCATATTTGCAGTTTGTAGTGAGGAAAATGGAAGTATGTAGGAGAGTAGGTAAATGAGACAAGTTTAGGGTTTGAAATCATCCAGTCAGAAGTTCAGGAGCTCCCCAATTTTTCTGGTACAGGTAGAGTTGAGCTCTGATTGTTAATTTGTTGTAAGAGCAGCCTTCGGTTGATGCCTCTGGAAATAATAAGCAGGCATTCTGATTCTGCAAGCAAACACACGGCTGTTTTGTGATGCGCGTCTACTAACCAGCCTATTCTAATGTTCTCAGACACAGGCGTGAGCGCTGACAAATGATTAATATCTTTAGAATAACGTTTTAATTAACAGTTAATTTCCTTCAAAACATGAATTGTTCTCCCTCAGGAAGCTAAACATGACTGAAATTCAAATGCCAAATTTTAGCTGTTTCTCATGTAAAATGGGACAAAACCATGCATTAAACAGATAAAAGCATAAATGGAAAATGGTCCCTTATTAAATCAAGTTTCTTTGAATAACAAATGTTTGATGTTCCTGAGTAGGTGATGACTAGGTAATAATTATTCCTTTGCATGCAAAAGAGGTTCAAGCCAACAATTCAGTTCAGATTCCACTAACGTAGCCTCCTCCCAGGACAAATGTATGCTTGGTGCATGTGTTTAAAGGTCTCTAATTTAATTCATTTTTTAAATCTAAAACCTTTTTCTTCTCAAGGGGGTGAACTCCACTGATCTTAAGACACAGGGATAGAAGAAACAGTGAGTCCCATCGAGTCCCTGGGACTCCCAAGGGGACAGAGTTGAGGACAGGTTCTTGCTTTTACCTCCTGAAATATTTTGTCAGGGTTATAAAGAAAACTTACCTTTTATTATGTTTTTTTTTTTAAATCAGCATTTTCTTCTGAAAACACAAATGGAAGATATTTAAATTCATCTTTGATTAGACAGTTTTTCCCCTTGGATGACAAGTCATTAACTGGAGCCAAAAAAAAAAAAAAAAAAAAAAATGGTTCAGCCTGACATTCCATGGAGTCATGGATTGATTTTGTTCTATGCCAAGTAAATCGGGCATACAGTTGGCAGTTAGGTGATCATTAAAAAGGCTGTGGGTCATGATGGAGCTTTCTTGTTGTCGCTTTTGTTCAAGTCTGAAAAATGTGCCACTGGTTTTGGAGAGTCCTGCCTTAAGACAGAATGTTGACATGGGGGACATGTACCTGGTCACCCTGCATACTTAGAGAGTAACTGGCCTTATCCAAATGTGGACACTCACTCACCCACTACAGATTGGTCCCTAAACCCGAGTCTCAACTGGACATCCCACAAAGGGAGGTCAATAATGAATATGGCAGTGGCCATTTCCACCCCTGCCCCTGCTCACAAAACCCAAAGCTAGCACGCTCTCCAGAACTCTGACGTCAGCTGAGCTCAGGCCCCGCCTCCCCCACCCCCCCACCCTGCACCTCTCTACCTCTCTAGCAGTATGGACTTGTTCCTTCTCTACTTCGAATCTCTTCCGTCCCTTCCTACCAGGGTGGACTCTTGGTTCGTTGACCCTCTGGAAGGGACCCCTGAACTAGTCCAGAGTTGAGTGAGCAAAGGAGTTTAGAAATAAATGAAAAGTGCACAAAAGCAACACATACAATTCTATTTCCTGTGCATTTTAATATGATACAGGTACGGGTGGGACCTAACAAATAGCTGGTCCTATGAAGACCTAAGCTGGCCCCGGTCGAAGCCTGTTTATTCTTCCTATTTCCCAACGCTTCCTTTCCCTGCGCCGAGGCTTCAGTCATCCTCCCTACCTGTCCCTCATGATGTCAATCTTGCCTCTTCAGTTGACTACCAATAATTTTCAGTCCTTAAACTTCATAAAACTTTTATTGAGTTTTATTGGAAATGAAACTTAATAAAACACCTACCTGAGACCATATACATTTATATAAATCTTTAAAGCTTTTGTTTTGTTTGGGTTTTGTTTTTGTTTTTTGAGACAATGTTTCTCTGGGTAGCTGTGGCTGCCTGGAGCTCTAGACCAGGCTGGCCTCAAACTCACAGAGATCTGCCTGCCTCTGCCTCCCTAGTGCTGGGATTAAAGGTGTGTGTCCACACTGCCCGGCATTAATTTTTAAAATTTATGGAAGCTGGGTTATCTATCCTGGCCTGGCCTGTCCTTCACCCACCACTGACCTCTAGCCAAGGAACTACTTCTTCATGCCCTTAGTGCAGAGATGGCTTCTGTCTCTCTGAAGTCACATGACCAAAGGCACTTGGTCAGAGGTTGGGACACCAGCTCAAAGCAATACAGATGTAGCAATAGAGGTGATATCCACGCAGAGGAAGCACTACCATAAATCTGAGGGCAAAGGTGAGTGAGGTCAGGAGATTTTTTTTTTTCTCCCCTCAATTCTTCTGATAGCAAATACAATTGTCTTTTGTTGAGCTGTAGATAACATTCCTTCTCCTGGGGAGCTGCAGACTCTAGCTACCCTTCCTCCTAAAGTCCGACGATAAACCAGGTACAATTCTACCAAAGCCCACTCCAGAGAACCACTAAGTTTATTGGGCTTCTTCCCAGAGTATAGGAGGGGGCGTGACTTTAGGTGTGTGAGTGCTCCCCTCACCAACAGCCGTGGAGATTGCTAGCCAGCCAGTCTACCCAAACTGCTGAGTCTCTGCTCAAGGGAGAGACTGTTTCAGAACGTAAGTGGAGGGCCAGGGAGAAAGGCTCTGAGGGTAATGGGGCTTGGTCAAGTCTCCTGAGCTTAGTTTATCCTCAGAACCTACACAATGGATGGTGAGAACCAGCTTCCGAGCTGCCCTCTGTCCGCCACAGACACACAGCAGCACACACACCTTGGGGAAATAATTATGTGTAAGAAAATTAAAAATAGCAACTTTAGAAGCGTACATATGCATTGCCATGCACACAAAAGAAATAACTGAAATAAAAATGAATCAAATTTGAAATTTATCAAAATTATTCAAACAGCTTCCCAGACTGAGCTTGACTCTCCAATATGACCTATAATGTAGATGTTTGAAGGCGTTAAAATGGCATAATAACAAAGCATATCTTCTCTTCTTTGAATCTTGTTCCTCCATTCTTTAGGGAACCAACCCGCTGTACAGAGGCTCCACCAGCACTTTTAAGAACGTGACCTACAAACACAGGGAGAAGCACAAGGCAGGCCTTTCTACAGACGGGTAGACAGGCCCACTTCAGCCAGAGTCAACTTCACCGACATTAAAGGTTAATTCACTGTTTGATTTGTCTTTCTTTGTTGCTTCAAAAGGAGTTTGACTTAAGATAGTAAGGGGTCACTTGGAGATTAGTCATTCTCGGCGTGAAGGTGAGACACTTTTGGCAGGTTTGAAATAATCAAGAGAAGACTATCCTAAGCAAAGAGGTGAATTCAAGATCGCTTGAAGAAGATGAACTCTGTTGCATTAATGCCTCAAAAAAAAATCATCAAAATGATTCATGGGGACTTGATTTGCATTTGAAAAATGTTCAGAATTAGAATCTTATTTACTTCCTGAATCTGGTTACCTAAAGTCTTTGTCTCCACAAAGTCGTTCAGTCTTTATGTATGCACCATGCATCCATACTGGCTGTTTATTCTAAACTTGCAGAAAATCCCTTTTCCTCATGGATTTTTTTTTTTTTTTTTTTTTTTTTTTTTTTTTTTTTTTTTTTGGTTTTTTGAAACAGGGTCTCTCTACAAAACCCTGGCTGCTCTGGAACTGACCAGACTGCCTTGCCCTTGAACTCACAACCATCTGCCTGTCTCTGCCTCCTGGGTGTAAGATTGAAAACTGAATGTTAATAATTGTTGTGGATTTGTACACACTTGAAAGTCATGTACGCAAACAATTGTTTTGTTCCACAGATGAAAAAAAGAAGTAATTTATCAGCTATGTTGCTAGCAAAACTGAACATACGGGTCTTATATGCTCAACTTCCTTCTTGTAGCCAAGTTTCTCTCCTGTTAACCTACATTTCTCAATTATTTCTCTCAACTCCACAGTCTTCAAAACTCCACAACTGTCATTCATTCATTTAAAAATAACCTTAGGCTGGTAGCTTATCAAATGGTGTTTCAGGAATGTAAAAGGAACCTGGGTAACAGAATAAAAGGTCACATGGCTTTACATCAAGTGTGTCACGACTGAGAAAGTCCCTCCTGAAAGTCTGGGCTTCCTGCAGGACATTCCTATCCGATCTGCACCACCTAGCATGGAGTGGACATGTCACCCACTTGGTCTGAAAAAGGAAGAAAATCGAAATCTACACAAGCAGTGAGCAGACTGGAGAGCTAGTGTCTGGAGAATTTCACTTCTTAGGGTTACTGCTGTATGATGAAGACTTGGCTCTTACATCTTACTTCTCCACAGAGAAGTTGAGAGGGTGGACAGGAGAGCTGAGTACAGTCTCTCCATCATCTAACTCCAAGCCCTTCTGACTCTCTCCTGCACGAGACCCTTTTGTCAGTAAAATGATAGGAGGATTGTGTTAGTTATGGTATAACTATCTTAGTTTGAAAGTGTATTGACACAGAACAAATAGCACTTACGTCCCTGGAGTGTGGGCCAGTTGCTGTATTTTTGTGGGGTGAGTTTTGCCTTCACTGGATATTAACGTGAAGCCATTTACTAGGTGAAATGTTACGGGAGGCTTCAACAGCTGTCTGTTAAATTATCAGCTTAGTCTCAAAGCTCCTTCACACCTCCCATATAGTTCTTTGTGGTTTTTGATCTTTTCTGGTTTTGTTTTGTTTTGTTTTGTTTTAACTCAGGTAAATCAGTCAGTTAGGGAGTACACAGCTACATTTAACAGAGAAATTCTAGGGAATCTCCTTGGATCCCTGAATGGTCCAAGCCCTTGGAGTTTTAGGCAAACCGGAAGATATCCCAGCGATCTGCTGTACTGCCACCACTACCAGGAGCTGTCTGTGCTGTTTGTGTGTTATTGCTGAATTGAGATTTTAGAAAATAGAAGTTTCTTTCATGTGTGTATTTTGAAGAACTTGTTCTTTCTCTAAATACCGTTTTGACCAAAGGCAGGACCTTAAAAAGGCCAAAACATTAACAGTAGCGCTGCTGTTCACTGAAGAATTATGTTACATGAAGATAAAATGGTTGTGTTTTTTTTAAGTGGTTTTGTTGTATTTTGCATTGTCATAAATAAACAGAATTTAAACAATGAACCTTGGTTGGATCATAATGCCTTTTTAAAAATTCACTTTACATCCCAATCATAGCCTCCTCCCTCCTCTCCTCCTGGTCCCACCTTCCCTTCCTCCTCTCCCTCTCTCCCTTCCCCTACTCCTTAGAAAAGGGGAGCCCCACCACCACCACCAACCCACCAGAGCACAACAAGTTACATCAGGATTGAGCATTCTCTTGCCCTGTGGCCTGGCAAGGCAGCCCCATCAGGGGTAGTGATCAAAATGAGGCAACAGAGTCCTTGTCAGAAACTGGCTGCCTCCTCCACTTCCCTTACTAGAGAACCCACATAAAGACCAAGCTATCCGTTGGCTACTTATGTGTAGGGGGCCTAAGTCCAGTCCATGCATGGTCCTTAGTTGGTGTTTCAGTCTCCATAAGCCTGCCTGAGATTATGCCTTTTATTTACTTGGTACAAAACCCTCTTCTTACATTTCTGAACCTTCCTGTGACTTATCCAGATTTGTTTTGGTTATTTCAGTCAAGGGCAAAGGAGAAGAACATTATCCCAGATTTGGTAAACCAGGTTCTTTAGAACTGGTATTCTGAATTTAATTTTTTTCTCCTGAATCCTGCCCTCAAAGAACCATGTCTTAACCCCTAGCATCTTAAAGTCTGACTGTAAAATTACAGATGGGATCTTTAAAGAGGAAACTTAAGTTTAAATGGGGTTATAGTGTGGACTCTTGATCCAAATGATGGTCTTTATAAGAAAAGGAAAGAGGACAAACATATACATAGGAGGCATACCATGACACAGGGAGAAAACTGTCATCTATAAACCAAGGACAGGAGTCTCAGTGTTTACCTCAGGCCCTTCATATATATATATACCTAAAAATGATGGATATGGTGAAACAGCAGTTCCATCTTCAAGCTTTTTGAGGAATACCCGTATTGAGTTCTAGTTTTCTATAAAATTTACATTCCCGCTAGCACTTGTTCCCTTTCTCCCACGTTCATACCAGCTTTTGCCATTATTTTTTCTTGATGAGAGCCATTATGGCTAGAGTGGGATAAACTCTTGGTGTGGTCTTAATTTGCATTTCCACAGTGGCTAAAGATACTGACCAGTTTTTCATATGGTTATTGGTCATTTATATACAATAGTTTAGAACCATTTTTTACCTCATCCTCCCATATTCTGGTTTAGCTAATTAGGGTGTTGTTTTCTTTGCATGTACATGTGTGTGTGTTACGTATACCTGTATGTAGACTCCTATGAAGGCCAGAGGTCTATACTGGACATTCTCCTGAGTCAGCCTTCATCTATTTTTTTATTTTTTTGATACAGAATTACCCACTGCACCTGGAGCTCCCCAGTTTGGCTGAACTACACAGTCTGAAATCCTTCTACCACAGTCTTTCCCCACCCCCTATCCAGCACTGGGGTCACAGATGCACTGCCATGTCTGGCTTCTACATAGGTTCTAGGGATCTGAATTCAGGTCAGTCGGGTCAGCAAACACAGCACCAGCTGAGCCATCCTCCTAGCCCCTTGTTTGCATTCTTTTAATTTAATTTTTCGAGTTCTTATGTATTCTGGATATTAATTTTTCATCAGATGTATAGCTAACCAATATTTACTCTCATTCTGGAGGATGCCTCGTCACTTGACAAATTATTTCCTTTGCTCTGAAGAAGTCTTTTTTTTTTTTTTTAATTTCCCATGGTTGCATTTGTCCGTTCTTGGTGTTATTTCTTGAGTTATTGGAGTCCCTTTAAGAATGACCAGATCTTCAACTGTTTGCATTGTCCTCTAATACTTTTAGATTTTCTGCTCTCAGATTAAGATCTTTGATAAATTTTCAGTTGGTTTATTGTACAGAATGAGAGATAAGGCTGAGACTTCTTTTTTTTTAGACATGTGGATATCAAGTTTCCCATGAACATGTGTGGAAGAGGCTGTCTTCCAACGTGTTCTTGTTCTTGTTCTTGTTTTTGTTTCTTGGTATCTTTGTCAAAAATCAGGTGGCTGTACCTATAGGAGGTTAATTCTGTAAACTCTGTTGTGTTTCATTGATTTTCAGGTCTGCTTTGGGCCATTTGATTTGTTACTGTGAGTCTATAGTGTAACTTGAAATCAAGTGTGGTGATAGCATCAGTAGTTTTCTTTTTGATCAGATTGCTTTCATGTGAATTTTGAATTTTTTTTTTTTTACTAATTATATGGATGGTCATTAGAAGTGTGATGGGATTTTACTTGGTAATATACTCATTTTCCCTACATTAATTCTGCCAGTCCATGAGCATGAAAAGTCTATCTTCTAGAGGTTTTTTTTTTTCTATTTCTTTCTTCCATGCTTTAAAATGTTTACTGTTAGAAGTCTTTCAGTTTCTTAGTTAAGTTTATTACTAGGTTTTTAAAGCCATTGTAAATGCAAATGCTTTCCTGATTTTCTTCTCAGAATGTTCTTTATTGGTAAATAGACATACCAAAATAATGAATACATGAGTACAAAGAAATTAAGCAAAAGACAAAACGTTCAAAAAATGGGTCAGCTTAATCTCTCTCTTAATTATTTAGAAAAATACAAAGTCAAATCAAGAATAGTTATTTCTGAGACATGCTGTTTCTTTTTTTTTTAATCTTTTGAGATTATAATTAAATCATTTCTTCATTCCCTTTTCTTTTTTCCAAAGCCTCCCATATGTCTCCTTTTGTTCTCTTTCAAATTTATGGCCTCTTTTTCCTTTAATTGTTGTTACACATATGTATGTGTGTATATATGTGTGTGTGTGTATAAATATATATACCTAAATACAACCTGTGCAGTCTGTATAATGTCCCTTGTACACGTATGTTTTCAGAGCTGACCATTTGGTATGGGATATTAAATTGATGTGCTCTTCTCTGCAGAAGACTATTTCTCCCTCTTCAGAATTCCTTAGCTGCTTCTAGTTCTTTGTATAGAACTGCAGATCTGGAGTCTCCTGAGCATTCCCCCATCCACATTAACATGTCTGTTGCTGTCATCCTTGTTCAGATCTTGTTAAGGCCACCATGTTGAGACTTTATGGGTGTAGCTTCCGATATTTCTAGGAGACAAAATCCCACAGCAAACTCCCTGTTTCTTTGGCTTTTATGGTTTGTCAGACTCCTCTTTTGCAGTGATCCCTGATTTTTTAGGTGCACAAGCTGTATCAGTCGGGACTGGAGTCTACAGCTCTGCATTTGTGGTTTTCTGTAATGGTCTCCATCTGCTGCAAAGAGGAGTTTTCTTGGTGAGAGGTGAAGACTACACTCATCTTTGTGTATAGACGATTGCTTATAACATAGTTGGGGATTGTGCTGTTTTAATAAACTGATAGTTGTAGGTTGTCCTCCAAGATCCATGACTGCATTAGCTCTGGTTTGTTGGGTAGGTTTTCAGCACCAGGCATGATTTCCTTCTTGCTGAGAGAG